TTTTGAGCTCTTCCTCAAAAGAGGCCAATTAGGGCAAAACCGCATAATTTGTCAAAGAGTCGGATGAGGGAGCGACTTTATTCACGGGAGCCCTCTTCTGGACGCTGTTCCTTTGAGAATTTTTGTTTAGCATCTCATAGAGTTCATAGATCTCCTCCTCCGTATGGCTCCCAATGTCTCCTCTGGCCGCGTGGTCCACGATGTATTGTAACATTTGATGACGACCGCCATAGAAGAATTGGTTCAAGACCCCGAGAAAAAAGTGATGATGTGGGCATTGAAGTTGATAACATTTGAAACGTTCCCACGCCTCATGGAAAGTCTCTCCATGTGCTTGGCTAAAGCTCGTCATTTGGACCTTAAGGTCCGTCATCTTTTGGTGGGAATAGTACTTCCTCATGAACTTCTCATACGCCGCCTCCCAATTAGTAAGAGAATTCAGAAGGAGGGTTATAAACCATGTCTTCACCCAATCCTTCAAGGTGTAAGGAAATCACCGCATTCGGAGTTGATTCTCATTAAGCCCTTGAAGAGGAAATGTGTTGGCTTTCACATAAAATTCCCTAATAAAGTTCAAGATGTCCTCTTGAGGTAAGCTATAGAAAGAGCGTAATTGATTGATGTGGACGGTCTTCAAGTCATAATTCTGGGCTGCCTCACCAAGAACTAAACACGAGGTATTGTCACCAATGATTGGCCGAGCAAAGTACCTCATATTCAGAGGCGGAAGCCTCGCATACACACAAACAAAAATCTATAGCCGTGAAGGCACCAATGGGAAACAAGAAACCAGTTACAAGAAACAAACACAAATTAACTACTAAGAACAAGAGAACACAAGAAAAATACGAAAATTAAGCAAAGAGCACAATAAAGAAAAACACAAAAACAAAATACAACTAATAAGCAAACTTGACATCCTACTTGCTTCATCCGGTAACGACAGTCGAGCATGATCGAAATATCTTACTCAAGTCGTCTCTCAAGGAAGGTGGTTCGGAGTTTCATTCACGCATTAGTTTATGCAAGAAATAACCCAAGTATTTCATTCAATAGTTAGAGCACTATTCTTTTAAAAAATAACCCAAGTATTTCATGCAAGAATCAACGATATTGAAGTCACTATATCACTTTGTGAAGGATATTCTAGAAAATGAATATTTTGTTTTGGAGAAGATCAAGACAAATGAGAATTCTGCAAATATGATGATCAAACATTGGCAACAATCAATTTTAAACATTGTTTAAACTTGACCAACATCCTGCATATCTGAGATGACGTCAAGAGGTGCATTTGAAGGGATCACCGGCAATTGGGTTAGGGAGTTGAAATAGGAGAAAAAATAGTCAAGATTGAGAATTGTTAATTTTTAATAAAGCTTTATCCCACATGGGGTTTGGAGCAAAGATTTGTAGGACTCTTATAGTATAAATATGTCTTTTGCATTTGAGTTACACTTATAACTTATTGTTTTTTTGCATTTGTTATAAGGAAATCCTAACTTGTAAGTTACTTAGACTTGGTTATATTTTGTTCATGAGATTAATAAAGTTGATGTTGCGGGTGGCGATGTCCGGTAGACGTACACACTATTGGCCGAACTCCGTTATCAATTTTGTGTATCTTCATTTTTTATCAATAATTTTCCTTATCTATTTGTTTTTTTCTACCTTTTTTTTTTGTAATTGTTCGTGTTATTATTTGTTGAGTGAGTAGTTTTATCCGTTGCATTTGACGTGATACCCTAATATCTATTATATAAAAAACTTTTATGGACCCAACTGATGACTCATTTATGGAGCCATCCATGATGTATTGATAGATATGCCAAAGTATAATTATTTTTGGACATATATTTAATTATATTCATTGGGTTTGAACTTCTTAACTGGTGATCCGAGTAATTTTTAGACCGGCCTAGCCCAACTTAAGTTGTGGCCTTGCAGACTTTCGTATCAATTCTACTTGATCTATTAGCACATCTAATAGTGGTTAATATAAAAATTTTAAAATACAAATACAAAACACATGCGTATTACATGGGTGTTAGTTAAAAAATTCATTCTTAAATTTATAAAGAGAGAGAGAGGTCTTTTCTTAAATGTTTAAAATAATTTTTTAAAAAAAAAATTTTGTATTTTCATTTAAAATATCACATGTCATTTGCACAACTTACTTATCCTATATTATATAATTTCTCCGACCCATATCCTAAATTCATATATAAGTTTATTTAATTGATAAATAACTATTAATTTTTAAATATATGAATTGATAACTTAGTTTTTTCATAAAGATAAATATAATTATTTATTTTATATAAGCAATATGGTTATTAAATCGAAACTCATCAAGACATATCATCTATAAAAAAAAACCTAAACAAATACAAAAATTATTAACTTCTAACATATATGTATAATTTAAGTTGTTTTTTTTTTCCAAATGATAAACCAAGATGACATTAAAACTCACAATATGAATACAATCGGGTAATCAAGAGATTATAGGGGCAACTACTCCAAAAACAAGGTGAAGAAGTAGTTTACCCAAGAGGGATAGGGGATCTTATTCCCTCCAAGCCATCGAGGTCACTAGACATGGCTAGGTTGAAGTGGTATATCCCATTTTAACCTAGCCATCCCGGCCCACCCCCGCCAGGGGCCGCTGGCTAGATTGGCTGGTCTGCTAAAATTGTTAAAAATAATAAAAATTAAATTGCTAAGCCATCACTCTCTCTCTCTCTCTCTCTCTCTTGTTTTTTTTTTCTCTTTTCTCTGCCTAGGCCAAGCCCATTTTTTTCTAGCCCACTCTTTTCTTTCTCTTTTCCCAGCCAAGGACTATGTTTTTCCAGCAGGTTGAGCGGTGCCACGACTGTGCCCCGCTCTTAAGGTTTGGTCTTGTTATCCAGAATCGATCGTTCGAATGATAAATGTAAAGTGTGAACTATGAGAGATGTGGTTTTTGTACAAGGAATCAAAGATTAACCTCAAATAACTTATGAGGCTCTCCTTCTAGTGCCAAACTGTTGTTGTGTGAAATTCAACAACGATCATAATATGTAATTAAGACGTTAAATGTAAAGATCTTATATTATTTTTTAGTAACTGTGAAATACAAGAAGTCGGTTTTTGTGTTTACCGAGCCAATTTGCATGTATGTATTGAACGCACGCAAATATATCCTCGTACAATAATAAATTCCGCCATTTATAGTAGCGCGTGTTTGACTTTCAGTATGAGGTAGGTGTGATCGCATTTAATGCAAAGTTGCTTTATGAAGCGGTTTGTCGGTCAACAAATGGACAACAATGATTGCGTCATAGCACGTGGCACAATCATGTGGATGCCTTGTCACCTGCTTCGGGCTTCGGTCATCTCAGATCCCAGTTTGTGAGGAGAACCTTTGAGAAGGAATCTTTGAGAACTCAGTTGTTTGTCTTGAACGCGAAGTCGGTTCGCAATTACGTGTGAAGTAGGTTTGATACTTAGCTTGAACCAAGTTGCGCTAAGAGGCTTATGAGCTGGTTTGAGCAGTAATCTTTGAGTAATACATGTAAATCTTCACTTTAGACCTTGTTAATCAGGTCGGTTGTCAACACATTCTCACACATCGCATCACCTTTAATTCATTATTCATCAACTCACATAATTTTAACTATCTACAACTTTCAATAGTCACTCTCATACTTTTTAATCACATCAACTTAATCATTACATTTTAAAATTATTTAAGTACAAACACAAAATCTCACCCAATTATCCCCAATCAATTTTATTCAAAATAACTCACTTTAACCAACCAAATCTAACCAAATACCGGTTAGAAATATTCAGTCGCGCCTAGAGGTCTCGAAATATTCATTTGAAATTTTAAAAAGTTTTACAAAATTATCAGTTATATAACTTATTTGTGACTAAAGTTTTGTTACGACTTTTTAAGACCTAGTGAGTTTTCAATTTAAAAAACCACATACAAAATTTCATTTCAAATCTCACCTTAAAATTTAAGATTTATAGGATTACTTCTAAACTCAAAAATTATAAAAAACATGAATCTAAAAAAATATCAAAATGTCACTTAGTGGGGTGCATTTGTTTGAGTTTTTGAGTGAGATTTTGAGATTTTTGGAGACTTGAGACTTTTCAAAACTATCATATTTACAAGGAATATGTGAGATTACGTACATTTTCTTTTTTTTAAAGAAATCTTAGCAAATCTTAAATTATCTTAATAAATCCTATTTTAAAATAAGTTAGATACCTATTATACGATCTTGTAAGACTTTTTAAAATTTCAAATAAATGTCACAAAGTCTTGAAAAGTTTAAATATACAAGGATTTTGAAGTGTTAAGACACGTATGAACGGTAATGTTTCCCTACCCACGATGGGCACATGTTAATATGTCCACCGTTGATGTGCATGCACACATTGGTGATGTATTTTTTTGAACATATTAACGTCACCAATGTGTGCATGCCACATAAACGTTAGACATATTAACATGTGTCCACCGTGAATAGTGGAGTATTACTGCACGTATGAATACTCTTTAAAATTTCAAACAAGAATAAGATTATACAAAAATAAGATTTATTTTGAAGTAAACAAGATTATATTTTAAAGTAAAATAAGATTTATGTTTTTGCCTTCCAATTTCCATGTATATTGTACAGAGCCTGACTAAGACTTTCGTTTTTGTCAATTTTCACAAAGCCCTCTGTACAAGATACTCTCTCTACACCGCTTTAGAGAGAGAAAGAGAGCTCTGATCGCAGTCGGCCGAAACCCTAACTAAAAAAATTCTCCGATCACACTGCTAATTTTCTTTTTTTTCCCTCTTTTGTTCTTTCTCAGTTATTTTCTCAATTTATTGGTTATTTATTTAATCAATAAAAAAAAATTAGTTTTTTTTTTTTACTCACAGAATCTTCATTGCCTGAGTAATTGATTTCCTTTTCGTTTGGTATAGATTTTTTTTGGTTGTTCTCTCTAAAATGATGAACGATGTTCCGCGGCCGACTGCCGACGCCGCATCCAATGGCGGTGGTGTAAGCAGTCCCCAGTCTCGGCGGCCGAGCCTCACCTCTGCTTGGGCCTCCGTCGTTCGCGGAGATTCCGAGCTGAATTCCTCTCCTACCGCCGCCTCCGCAGCTGCCGCCGCAGGGACTCCTGGGTCTTCTCCTTCTCCTCCGCCGGTCGAGCAGGCTTCTGCTCCGGAGAACTCTGTGATTGAGATTTTGGGCTCGGAAGCGCAGCCCGAGACCCCTGATGCAAACGGCGACAGCAATGCCGGCCAACAGAGGAGGCCTGCTTGGAACAGGCCGGTTAACGGCGTCGTTGAGCCCGTTTCTGTTATGGGTGGAGCTGTTTCCTGGCCTGCTCTTTCTGAAACAACCCGGCCCGTTCCTAGATCATCGTCTGATAGCCCTAGGCCCGTTTCTGATGGATTAGCCTCCTCATCACAGGTGAAAATATGCCTAGAATATGTCTGATCTCGTGTTCCATATCATTTATGTTTGCATATTTTCTTGTGATTTGTTCCCTTTTTGGTATGAATAGGAGTAAATACACTGCTCCCTTTTATGTATACTTAATCCCCAAATAAGCTAATTTGTTTGCTGCTGTTGATGTGGTTATCTCTTTTATGCTGTAAAATATTTGCATTTGGCATGAAGGTCGCTTTTAGTATGGTGTTTTCCTTTGTATTTAGGCTCCTGTAATATCCCCACCTCCTCAGAGACCGGCCAATATCAATGCTCATAGTAATTTTACTGCAAACCATCCATCAACCAGACCAAGGTCAAGAAATCGCAATGGTGGTGGTGGAGGGAACTCCTCAGTTAGTGGCCAATCTCAGCCTGCTTTTAATCAGCCATCTTTAACTATGCCACCGCCTTTTCCTGTATTTGAAGTACCTTATGGGATGGTACCTGCTGTTATGGATACTTCTGTTAGAGGCCCAAGGCCAGGTGGCGGTTCTCAGTCTCATGCTGGCAATAACCATTCCAGTCAGAGGAGTAGTAACTCCAGAAGGGGTAATTATGGGTCCCGTCCACGTGGGGATGGACAATACCACAATAATCATGGAGGCAGGCGGGATCAAGACCGTCGAGAGATTCATCATCCGCCGCAGTATGTACCGTCCCCAATGGGGTACATGCCGTCTCCTCTGCCTCCTGGCACCGCCCCTTTTATGGCACCTCCACCAGTGAGAGTTTTTTCTGGACAGATGGGATTTGGTGAGTCGTTGGGTTCATCTAGATTTTGTCGATTGTTATGGGATTTTTTTAACTTGTGTTTCCGGACTTTGTAGATGTGGCGTCTCCCTTTATCTATGTTCAGCCAATGCCCCTGGATTCCTTTAGGGCTATGCCACTTGTGCCTTCCCCGCCGCCTATGATTTTCCCTCCTGCTAATGAGACTTCTCTAGGGAACATGATTATTAAGCAAATAGACTTTTACTTCAGGTGAAAGCATATGCTTATACATTATTGTCAATTTATTTATTTTTATTGCCTCTGTTACAGATAGATAATAAGTGCTAATACGAAAATGTGTTTGTCTCAGTGATGATAATTTGGTCAAAGATAACTATTTGAGGTCCAACATGGATGATCAGGGCTGGGTGCCCATTGCTTTGATTGCCTCCTTTCGGCGAGTAAGATGATCCAGATTATGTACATATTTATTATATATTCTACTACATTTAATGCTCTATGTTTTCAGCAATAAGTGGGTTTTTTCTCAACATAATGGGTATTTCATGTATCGCCAAAATATAGATTTAACAATACTAACAGACTTGAATTTTGTGTTGCTCCTATTGGTTCAATGTGCTAATGTAATTTGTACTTTTGGAGTTTGGACCAGTTTTAACTGATAGTTATCTTCTAATGAAAATTGACCTGAATTTCCTGTCGTGCTATGTGAATGAACTCTTGGACAGATTCATAATAGGAATGTGTTCATAAATGCCATTCATTATAACATTTATATTCCATAATGAAGCATATCTTAGATAAGTGGCCGTTGCAGTTATTTGTTGCATCCTTGAGTGTGCTCCTTGTGAAATATAGCAAATATGAAATTATTCTGGGAAGGTTTGCCCACGAACAACATTTTTGTAAGATCCTAAGTAGATTTTTTTGGTGCACTGACTTGTGCCTTTTCGAATGACATCTGGGTTTTATCTCAATATAGCATGGTGAATGTACCTAGCTAGCTGTTGAAGATTAGTTATAACATGTGATAGAAAGATGTTTTTTTCCTATTTGTCTTGATTGAATTTTGGCTATCTAACCTCTTTCTTTTCATGTTCTGTTATTTTCAAATGATCAAAATGAGTAAGTGAAGTCCTGCCTTTAATTTGGTTGATTCGGTCGGATATGTTTCATCATGGTAAAAAGGCATTGATAGAATCTTGGATTTCGTGGGGTTATTTATTACGTGAGTTAATACTTCAAGACTTACTACCATAGAATCTATCATCTTGGGACAAGAATTGAATGGACAAGGGTAAGGGTGGTGGGACATTTTTTACTCCCTTCCGCGATTATGAATTGTTGTCAATTGTCGTTTGATTTGTATTTGATATTCATACGACTAGTCGATTTCATATTTGTACTGTTATCCAATGCACGGATCAGGGTTTTTCTTTGCCGTCTGTCATTTCAGGTTCAGCAACTGACTAAGGATATCCCGGTAATTTTGGATTCATTGAGATATTCTACAGTTGTGGAAGTACAGGTCAGCTTTTGTTTCTGCAATATGTACTTGCGAGTTGCACAGTCTTCATCCAATTTATCTAGCTCTAATTACCTAATTGTGGATATTCTATTTTCTGCAACATTTCTAGAAGTATTTCCTTGAATGAATTCTGCTTGTCCTTGATCGCCTTAAAATTAAAACAATCCATCCTTCACATTTACAGGGTGAGAAAGTGAGAAGACGTAACGAGTGGAGTAAATGGGTGCACTCATCTGGTAGACGCAATTCGGACTCTGGAACTAATTCCTCGATCTTGGCACCTGCGGTTGCACTGGCATCCTCCTTACAGGCGGTTACACTGGATGATGCTCCGACTGATGCAGATGACAACATGGATGCAACAAGGGGAGGTCAAACGAATGAGTTGACCGGACAGACGGGGCTGGCCAATGGGGAGAAAGCTGGCGACGAAGTCCGTTCAAATACTGTATGATGTTTTACTTCCGTGAAGAAAGTTTTGCACAATTGAGGTTGGTTCAGTTGCCTTGGATGTGTCAATCTAGTGTTTGTGTGTGTGCACGTGTGTGCGCTTAAAAAAATAATATAATGTACAAAGTCTTATTTGGGTGCTTTCATTTTGAGATGGCTACTACACAACATGCTTTCTAAAATTGGAAGTTGACAAATTCACTTAAGTTTACCCTTCTTTTGTTTTGTACCTGCCAATGATGGGGCTGGCCGGGAAAGTGGAGAGTTAGTAAAATATTCTTAGGGATTCTATAAATATCTTAAATAACTCAATTTCTTTTGTATATTTCTACGTTTAAGGCCCTCAAATTTTACCAATATTACATATTGTCCCTGACTAATGAGCCAATTAAATTTTTTTGTGTTGTGCAGGGATGCTATTATATTTTTATCACCTTAAAAAAATTCCATTTGGTAAATGTATGATAAAGACTGAGGGTTGCTTTTGTTATTTTCTAAATTAACTGGAATTTTGTAAATTCCCCAAACATTGGGTAGTTCTTGTATCTATCCATTTAATAACTACTCGAAGCTTACTACTTGTGATTGCATCTGTTTAACATGAAAGTTCCCACACTGACCCCACCAGTGTTTTTGTTTGATGCAGCTGAAGGAGAGTAAAGGTAAAAAAAAAAAGGTATTATTAACTTATTGGACACAAGAAGGAAGCTGAAAAGTATAGCAGAGCTGAGATAATCTAAAATCTCAGATGTGCTGGTCAACTAAAGTCGCTACTTGGGTGGCGGTGGTTTTGTAGTTTAATGATTCAGTACTTTATCTTGGCAGCGTCCAAGGAAGAAACGTTTTTAAAGGTGAACTTTTCCTTTGTCTTTGGGGCATTGTGAAAAAATGAAATACTCGAGTATTTTCTTGTGGCCAAACATATGGGAGCGAGCCCCTTGCATTATTTTTGGTAAAACTTCGATTGCCTGTTGGATGACAGTATGATATGGTGGCTGCTCATTTTTGAACGTGAAACTTATTTTTTCTTTTACCAATTGGCTTCGTCTCGATTTGCTTTCTATGGCAAGACACATCTGAAGTTTAATTATACAACTTTTTGTGAAGAAATCATTTGTTTGGATGCTTAAGCTTCTTGTATTTGCATGAGTTAATGGGTGCTAGTGTTTGAATGGTTATCTGTTGACCATTGCTTAGGTGTTTGCTTCATTTTCTTGGTCTAATTTTTGTTTTATGCACAACAATTGTGGTCTTTTCCTGTCGTTAGCTCTGTGGTTGGTGGGTTTGCATCTAGTTTTCATGTCCTCCCATTTACATTATTACGTTCAAGTTTTTGAAAAAATCGTGAGTCCTTATTTTATGAAATGATAAGTGAAAAACATTTTGGGCCTTTTTTCTACTAATTTATATATTTTTAAATGTTCTAAAAGTCGCTAGGCTTTCGACTAGCACCTAGCGCCTAGGCGGGGTCTAGTGGCGCCTAATTGGGGTTTAGAAATCACTATTAAATATCTTATTTTTTATTTATTTTCATTATTTATAAAATAAAACTATCTCAATTTATATTAAATCCACACGTCTAAGTCCGAATAATAATATTAGTATATTTTAAAGAAAACACGAGAATAAAATAATATAATTATTATTTAAAAAAAACTAATAAATTACCGTCGAGCCTGCCTAGGTTCGTTTATGCCCACGTAGGTGCCAGATAATCGCCGAGCCCGTCAAGTCGGCCTAAGAGCGCCTAGGACTATTTAGGCCTGTCTAGCTGCTTGATCAATTTTTTCGGTCAATTGGACACCGCCTAAGCGGCTGTGTAGGCCAATTTTTAGAACAGTGGTATTATCTAGAGGTCAAAAGCTATAGTTTTTATCACAATACGTTTTTAACTTTTAATATATATGACAAAATTAGTAAATATAAATAAATTGATGCATGTGTTGGATTCGAAACATTTAGATGTGGATGCATTGAAGTTAAATTTATGTTCGGCCAAAATGATTGCAATTGGGCAACCTTTTTGACTACTTGCGTTGAAGTTACTATTATGCATCTTTGGATAACAAATATTTAAAATTCAAAATTACCAAAACAAATAAAATACCAAAACAAATAAAATAAAATGATAGCAACCAAAAGTGCGCACCGTAGCTATGGAAAGTCTAACGCAATTGAGAGGTTTTTTCTATTTTTTTCCCTCCGACTAATTATGGGTCTGCTGAATTTAAAATCTTCAGTTTCTTCTATTTTATCGAATCCAATGTTCATAAATTTATATTATTGACCATATAATCTTACGATTATTGAAAAAAAAAAATGGTAATTAGGATTTTAAAAGTTTAAAGCTATAAACAAGAACATTTTACGGGTGTTCGGCTACTGATATTAAACTAGTACAAATCTCGTGCGATGTACGGGTAAAAGATATTTATTAATATTATAAATTAAATTTTTTTATTAAATAATATTCACAAATTAAAATTTTGGAATCAATATATAATACATTTTATCTATATTAATTTATAGAAAATGTTATATGAAATTGAAATTGTACAAAATTACATAAAACATATCTATTTAAAATTAGTACACAACTCGTACGGTGCACGTAACTACTAATAAATTACATTGTATGCATTTCAAAATAGAAGTCAGTTTAAAATTTTTATTCATAAATTCGATTTGACTACAATGTGATTTCATAAATAAATATTTTGTTAAAATTTTATCATATATTTAAAAAACTACGCGTATAATTATAAAACTTATATTATTTCATTAATTAGATAATTTTATTTTTGTATAAACTATCCAAATAAATTAGCCAAATTCACATGATTTGAATAATTAAGGTGTTTTAAAAATTAATTTTTTATGGCTTAATTATTTTTTTAAATAATGAGCCGCAATTTCCATAAGTCGTTATTTTCTATATAGCATAAATCATAGTTAACCCGGCCCAGAAATCGACCCGGGAATTTCTGGGTCAACGGGTCACCGTTCAACCGCCCGGTCACCGGGTCAATTGCTGAACCGGATAATTAATTTTAGTAATTTTTAAATTATATATTTAGTATTTTTGACATATAAATATACATAAAAGTAACAAAAATAAATATTTTGTATATAAAATTTGTACATCAAAGTGTTATAAGAATTTTATCTCACAATAAATATTTGATATATCAATATATTTACACAATTTTTATATTTATATAAAAAAATATTAAAATATAATAATATATATGGACCGGGTCAATGACCCGGGTCGACCGGGTCAAGGCCAAGTTGGCGGGTTTTTGACTGGGTTTGACCGGGTCCATTATTACCCGGTCCAAATAGCCCACCCGGACCGGTTCCAGCTCCGGGCCGAGTTGAAAAACAATGACATAAATTGTTAAATTAATTTATCAAAATAGTAAATAATTTTTTTATGGAAATAGTTATTATTTAAAAAAATAATCAAATATTTATATATATATATAGATGATTTATTTTATTAATGGTAAGAGAAGAAAATCGTGATTTATAAGATATGCAATTTTGAACTCTTGTAAATTAAAGTTAAAGCAATACAAATGATTTAAAACATGAAATTTTAAATTCTCTAGGTAGATTACAACCTTAAAACGTGCATGTCCTAGTTACGTTTATAGTTTTTGGCACAAATAAATAAGGGAAAGTATTCTGTTAAATTCACATATCAACTTTTAAAAATATTTGTGGAATATTAACAAAACTAACAAAAATAACAAAATTTGGGAGGAAAAAAAAATAAAATCTCTCATTATATTTTATTTTAGTTTTAGTCTAAATATGCATAAAAATTGAAAGGTGTACAATTTTGGTAAATAGTGTGTTCGTTTAAAGTAGAAGGCAATCATAATTCCACATCACTCAGAATCTGTGATTTAATTTGAAATATTTAATATTTTAAATAATGTGTATTTGAAGGAATAAATCCATTCATATAAGGGATATTGTTTATTTGAATTATATAACAAAAAAATCCACAAAAAAAATAATCCGCTAATTGATTAGAAATTTTACCAAAATTATTAACGAAATTTAGTGTACTTTGTGGGAATGCTTGAATTGAATAAATACCGGAGTCCTCCCGCATTATGTGGGCACTTGAATTAAATAAGTACCG